GTGTTTTGTGGTGAGATCCACATGATTCTTGGCAAAGGTTCCCCTGTTGCTTGACAACTCATTCTAGCAGATTCCCCCAACTTTACCGTCACCAGCGACGGTGATTTCAAATGAATCTTTGGAGCATTTGGTCCGACCTTAACGCTGACCTTCCTCTCATCTTTTCCCAGTTTGTTCTTGGCGTAGCAAGTATAGTCTCCCTCGTCATTTTTGTCCATTCGCTGCAGAAGTAAAGTTCCATTGCCAAACATAACGTAGCGGCGATTCCGATGACCGCTGTCATCTGACTGAAGAGCATTGTTGATGAGAGTTCCATCTGGAAGACCCCAGGACACCTCTGGGTCAGGGAGACCCGAGGCCACACAGTCCACCTTGAAGGACAACAATAACAGCAAATTAACTCACAATGAATCGTGATTATCTATTGTCACGATAAATTGATAGCCATGAGATATTGAGAAGGAAATGATTAGTCTATCGACTTGGGTCGCAAAGGTTTGTGTTTGGGAAAGAGAGTTTGGGAAAGAGGGAGAGAGAGCTCGTGGATTTCTAGGCTAATGTAAGGCGCCTGCGACTTTCATAATGTGAAATGAACTTCCATACCTGTTGATCCTCTGATCATTGGTCGTCTGCCGGCTTCCAGTGAATATCGTTTCTCTGCTTGTCCGGCCACATTTTTGGCCAGGCATCGGTACACGCCCTTATCGGCTGCCTCTGGTCGAGTGATCCGTAGCGTTCCGTTACTGGAATAATGGGTGAAGCGGTGGAGTCTAACGCCAGGCGTTAACAACGTCCCGTTGGGCAGTACCCATGCAAACTCTGGGATTGGCTTTCCACGGGCAGGACACTCCAGGAGCAGGTCTCCACCGTCATGTCTGATTGGCAGGATTTCTATATTTGGAACAGCGAAGCTGGGCTTCTCTGCCAGCGAGGCCACTTCCAGTTCGACCAGCAGCGACGCTTCACCCAGTTGGTTTTTGGCGACACACATGTATCTCCCTTCATCTGTTCTTCTCATCCCTCTCAGCTCCAGGCTCCCATTCTGGTGTACTCGAAATCGCCCTCCACGGTACGGTGTGGTGAGCGTTTGGCCGTACGGAGTAATCCACCAGACCCTTGGTTCAGGTTTACCTTCTGCTTTGCAATTCAGAAGCACAGTTTGATAGAAGACCCCCATAACATTGGTGGTACTCTTCCCTTTGACGGCGTTGATGAACGGCTCCCGCGGCTCCACTTCAAGTCTCATGTTTTTGACATCATCACCTGCAGAATTCCGTGCTACACACGCGTACTTCCCTTCGTGAGCCAGCCGTACCCTGTTTAACACCAGAGTTCCATTCTCCATGACGTGAACCTGGTCTGATGAGGTGGACATCACCGTGTTTTGTGGTGAGATCCACATGATTCTTGGCAAAGGTTCCCCTGTTGCTTGACAACTCATTCTAGCAGATTCCCCCAACTTTACCGTCACCAGCGACGGTGATTTCAAATGAATCTTTGGAGCATTTGGTCCGACCTTAACGCTGACCTTCCTCTCATCTTTTCCCAGTTTGTTCTTGGCGTAGCAAGTATAGTCTCCCTCGTCATTTTTGTCCATTCGCTGCAGAAGTAAAGTTCCATTGCCAAACATAACGTAGCGGCGATTCCGATGACCGCTGTCATCTGACTGAAGAGCATTGTTGATGAGAGTTCCATCTGGAAGACCCCAGGACACCTCTGGGTCAGGGAGACCCGAGGCCACACAGTCCACCTTGAAGGACAACAATAATAGTAGTTTGATGCATTTCAAATGTAGCAGCATATCGTAAGTGGATTCATTGATTCGCCCAGTACTACCTGGAAATTGTCTCCAAAAGTGACTCTGCTCTGTGCACTTCTCACATGCTCGATTTTAGGAGCAGTCATCACTACGTCCACCTGGTGATACAAAAACACGTAGGACTCACATCAACAATTAAACGTACCTAAACTTTTCAATACCATCTGGAAAATGCAGGACAAACAATCATTTTTATTTCCAAATATTTATAAAAAGTCAGAGTCTGTTCTAATCGTACCTGAAACAACTCCATGTCCTCGCCATTAGGCCGCTGAAAGACACACAAATAATTCCCACCGTCCTTTTCTGTTAGCTGCAGAATCCTCAGAGTCCCATTACGGAAAACTTTAATTGGTGTCTCTGGACTGGAGACAAATGCAGGTGAAATTCACAGTGTGAAGACAAGCAGTCATAAACATCTTATAACTATGCCTTTTAAAAAGTCTTTTCAAAATCGTTCCAAAATTAATTCATTACCTGTATCTATATTCCACAATGTTCTTTGAGGGTAGCTGCCAAATAGTCCCCCTAGTGGAGGCGGTAGACTCTGGACAATGGAGGTAGACGGCAGAACCATACATAGCAGAGACAGTGTGGCGGCGAGAGGGCGTAGCCTGTCGATTGGTAGGAGGGATGACAAGAGGGGGGGCGGGTGGAGGAGGAGGAGGAGGAGGAGCTGGAGCGGGTGGAGGAGGAGGATGAAAAAATGATGGAGGATCTGCCCTCACTTCCAACTGCACCGACCTTTTGGCCACTCCAACAGTGTTACTGGCAGTACAGTCGTACCTGTGGCAAACAAATCAAAGGATTAGCTTTTTATATACGTATATATCTGTTTATATATATGGACTAAACTGAAACTGAAATTCATACCTTCCTCCGTCAGACGGTGAAACATTCTTCAAAAACAAAGTCCCATTAGGAAAGACAAAAAGTCTTAATCCGAGATACTGTGACGGTTTAACGCTGACCCCTGACGGGAGCATCCACTTCAGAGTTGGCATCGGTTCGCCTTTCGCAGAACAGTGGAGATGAACGTTTCTGCCTGGTGAGACAGAACTGCATTAGTCCACAAAGCTGTTGGATTAAAAAAAAACTGCACTAGGTTTAAATAAATAAAACACACCTGGAGGGGCGATGACTTGATCAACTGCGTCTTCACTGATGCTCGGAGGTAGGGCAGCCACGTGTAAATGGTAGGTGATGGTATCAGCACCTGCTGCATTACTCGCTATGCATTTATAATCCCCTTTGTTGGAAAAATTGGCAGAAATGATTTGCAAGGTTCCATTCTGAAGCAGAGACATCGGAGAAAGACGAGTGTGGACAGTCCCCATGTCACGGACAAACGTCTTGTCCGGAAGAATCCAGGAGATTTGTGCTGGTGGTTTCCCAGAAGCCAGACAGTCCAGAGAAAAGCCCTTCCCCAGGTAGGCTGCTATCTCTGTAGACTTTGGTGGTTTGATCTTGGGCGCCTCAGTCTGGACAGCTAAGGTGATGACCATGCGATCTGATCCAAAGCGGTTCTGAGCTGTGCACAGGTACTGGCCGCGATCCTGCAGCTGGATGTTTTTGATCAGAAAAGTTCCATTCTTGAAAACTTCGAAACGGAGACCATGTTTAGTATTTGCTGGAATAGTGGCACCTGAAAATATATTTCGACACAAAGTAAGAATTGATAAATTATGAACAAATTTAAAGAGATTACATTAGTTTTGCCAAGGTCATTGCAGTCTCTCACCTGTAGAGACTTTGGTCCATGAAATAGAAGGTTCTGGGTTCCCTGTTGCTTTGCAGGGCAGAAAAACATCACTCTCAGCAAGCACTGACACACTGGCTGTGGTTACAGTGGTGATATGAGGCTTTGTTCCTCCGTTTCCTTTTCCCAACATCCATGGAAAAGATGGGGCAGGTGTGACTCGCCGAGAGCTGATTCGTCCTCCAACCAATTAAAATGGCAAAAGTCAGAATCCTTGATATTGGTGGAGTTATAAATGTTTTTTTCTACGTACGTACATCTGTACCTACCTCCAACAGGCCACCAACCGCCCTGCAGCACTCCTGGGTTTGTGGGTTGGTAGGGGCGAGGTGTTGTAACAAAACCAGACTCTGGCAAAGTTGAAGGTTCTGGGTTAAAACCGTAGGAACCAGTGGGTAGCGGTGGGTTGGGTTTGGGTCCCATTGGAGGATTGTTGTAGCCTGTACGAGGTTTAGGTGTAGCCAGTCTTCCCAGTTGTGTGATGCGATCAAGCTGTGCCTAAAACAAAATTATCAATGACTTTTATTATAGCAAATATGGCAAAATTTACAGAGACATTCTTGAACAGTTACGGTGTTCTGTACTCTGTTTGTTACCTGTCTGTATCTGTTCTTCAGTTTTAACAGGAGGACCTGATCCATGGTTTGAGTCCGGCCGTCCACATGGTGATTCCGATGATTATTTTGTGATGGGTGGTGATAATTGGGATGTTGAAATTTTGTACTCTCTGTTGTTCCAGGCGTTGTTGTTGTTGTTGTTGTTGTGGGTTTGACTGTTTCAGCTGTGATTTCTGGTCTGTTGGTGACAACTGGGCTTTTAGCCCAGGGGTGTGTAAGTGACCAGGATCGATAGGTGGGCACAGGGTGTGACCAAGGACCTAGGAACCATTATTTAATCAATTATAAAATATAATGATGCACTACAACCTTGTTTAATTTATATTTTATAACAAAAAAATAAAGTACTTTTTGTTATTAGATACATGTGTACATGGCTTTTGTAATGACGTTTTGCTTACCTTGCCTGGGATTAGAAAACTTGCCCGGCCATGAAGGGTAGAGCGGGTAGTGATGATGCTGGTAGACTGAATGCCAGTGGGAAGTCGGGGGAACTTTAGGTAGCTGGAAATGTCTACCTGTATTGACTTCACCTTGTCTCCCAGTATTCCTGTCGTGGTGTTGATGTGCTGTCCTGGCAGTGGTGGGCTGCGTCTTTCCCTGGTTTTCTGGATGAAGCCATGGATGAAGTGGCTCCATTATTGGGAAATTTTGGATCCCAGGTTTTATTCTTGGCTCTGCTTCCTTGTCTTCCCTTCCTGGAACTTGCTTTGTTCCACCTCCTAAACCTAAATTTCTATCTTCAGAAGGTGACTTTGCTGAATGTCTTCGATTGTCTCCCTCTGTTGGAGGTGGAGGGTTGGGTGCTGGTCTTCTTAGAGTTGTTGTTGAGATACTATCGTGTATATTTTTGTTCCTTGTATTGTCCTCCTTTTTAGATGTGTCAGTTTGGCCCACACTGGTTTCAGTGACAGTTCCGTGATTGGTCCGTGGTTTTTGTGGTGTCACTACAGCTGTGTCACTCTTCCTTGCAGGGTTTTTATCATACCTACTCTTGTCTTCGTACTGTGTCCTTCTCTCAACACTCTCTTCTTCAGATTTCTCTTGGTTAACGGTGAACTTCTCCTTTTCATCAGCAGTTCCTTCAGTTGGATACGGAGTACTAGCTGCATTTGGAGGGACAACTGTCTTTGGATTGGGTAAATTGTACGTTCCAGCATCTGTTAGTTTCTTCGTCAGTGTTGGAACCGTGGTAAAGCCACTGCTAAATCCAGGTGTAGTAGAAGGCTTTTCAAAGATTAAATCTTTTTTGGCATCCAAGCCATCGCCATCCTTGTAATTGTATTCATCAAAGTATTCGCCTTCATCTTCCTCTATCTGATACTCAGAAGATAAGTTTTCTTCGTTTTCAGTACTTTTGACAGTCGTTAAAGCAGGTGTGGTAACGGTTGTAGCAGTAGTGGTGGTGATAGTAGTAGTAGTAGTAGTTGTAGTTGTAGTTGTAGTTGTAGGGATGGTCGTAGTTGGAGTGGTTGTTGTTGGGGCAGTACTTGTCAGAGGAGTAGTTGTCTGGGGCTTCTTTACTGGATATCTGTTGGGGTGTAGGTGAGGATACCCTCGTCTTCCTGTGGGGGGCCTTCGTCTAAAAGGAGGCCTTCTTCTGTTGGGCCCAGCAGGTGCTAATATGGGGTTTCTTTGCCTCTCCTTAAAATTCCTCTTTTCAGACTGAACAGTTGGCTGCGAAATTCCACTGACAGAATTTTCTGTGAAAGATTTGGGAGCTTCGGTAACAACGCCAACATGGTGTAGGGATGGTGGTGTAGGTGGTGTAGGTGAAAGATTTGGGAGCTTCGGTAACAACGACAACATGGTGTAGGGATGGTTCCCTAACTGTAGGTGGTGGTGGTAGACTCTCTGGTGTTCCAGAATATTTACTACCAACTCTCTGGTGTTCCAGAATATTTACTATCAAAATCTTTTTCATTATATATATAAGTCTTTGTTTTCTTTTTCATTATATATCCCTGACTCAATCCTCGTTTTTTTGGACAAAAGTGTTGTCAACTCCGACGTAAAATAATGGCCTGCAGTGGTATGAGCTATGCTATCAGTAGTAGTAACTGTTGGAGTAGAAGTTGTTGTAGTAGGTGGTGCAAATGCACTTGTCACGTCTGTTGTAGAGCTCTCTGTATCCGGTGACTGAATTGGGTAAGAATTGCTCGTTTTTGCATTAGTTTTGGCCAATATCTCAGCCCAACGATCGGGATCTAACTCCTTGATAGATTTATTGGGTTTTCTTTTTGCCCAACGATCGGGATCTAACTCCTTGACAGATTTATTGGGTTTTCTTGGGAGTCTCTGGGAGTCTATAATTCTTGTTTTTTTAGGGAATAAATTAGGGTTGTCCTGCCCCTTTTCCTCCTTCTTGGGAAACTGTGTAGCAAAAGGCCGGATGATTTCCTGGTAATCTCCCCCTGAACCTTCTCCTTCCTGCATGTTATTCTGAAACAGCTGTCTGTCTGTACCTTCATCCTTTACCTTTGAATTTACAGAAGGTTTCCCCTCTGTGATTTCTACACTGTGCGACAACATGTCGACTCCGTACAGATTTGAGGCTAAGCAGCTGTATTCTCCCGAGTCTTCTTGGCTCAGCTTTTTTACAACCAACGTCCCATTTTCCATCACTTCTGCTTTTCTTGTCTTTTGCGTGGCCAGTAGATATTTGTTTTTGGGTAAATACCACACAGTTTGACTCGGCTGCACTGACGTGACGTTACATGGAAGAAATAACGTGTTTCCTTTAACTGCTTCAATTTTCTGACCATTCAGAGCATTGGGGCCGAGTGAGAGTTCTTTTACGGTGAGCCTTAGAGGCATCAAATCCACACCTGCTGGGGTTCTGATCATACAGTGGTACAGACCAGAGTCAGACAGTGTGGAACTAAAAATAACCAGTTCTCCCGTTGCTGTAATCTCGGTCTTTTCATCTGAATCTTCTACAACTGACAAATCTGGAAGCATCCACTCCACCTTCACATTGGTGTCTGAAGGTGCGACACTGCACCGCAAACGGACCTCTGTGCCCTCGAGAGCTGTTTGGACCCGGCCCTCTGTTGTTCTATGAATCAGCGCCCAGACAGTTTCACCGTCCGGCTCCGTATGAGCTTTGACATTCTCGGAAATTAAAGTTGTAAAATCCATCACCAGTTTCTTCGTTGTTGTCTGCTGTCTGTTGAGCTTTAACGTGACCCTGGGTTGAAGCAGCCAGGATGGTTCAGCTTCTAAATGTCCTTTTAACTCTGTGAAATAAGGTGAATTCTCATTGATAGCCTGGACGTACTGATAGGTTGTTTTGCTTGCATTTCCTCTACGTTCACCTCTCTCCAGGATTGCGGGGCTTTCGTAGTAATATGCCACCAATTGCCAAAGATTCTGCAATGTTTCTCGATCAATCTCACATTCGAGGACAGTCACCAGGGAGACATTAACAGTCACTTGACCAGATGATGGGTTTGAAGTCCAAGTCATGGGTGGACTTTCTTCAGGTCGGCGCACGCTACAAGGCACATGAGCCTGGTTTCCGTGATTGTCGGAAAGAACAAAAGTCAAGTGGCCCAAGGGCTTTTCAAAGTCCCGGGTGTAAGGCAGGTCCGGCTCCGTCTCAGACTCAGCCCACGTGGGGTTGTCCCACTGTTTAAGAGGGGAGAGAAGAACCGGGCGTTCACAGGTAAGCTTGTTTGAAGTCATCCCAAGAAAGAGGGAACCATTCAGGGACTGTGGAGAAGAGCACTGAGGGCATACTTCACTGGAACCACGTTCCTTTTTGCACTTTATTAGGCCTGGAACAGAGACAGGGGCGAGAAGGAGATGAAGACTAAAAGACAGAGGTCTAACATGGTAAAATTACATGTCATTTAACCACTCACAATTATACAAAACTAAAGAATTATTCAGTACTAACCTTCATGCTTGGAACTCCATTCGACCAACCAGCGTAGTTGACAATCACAGACCCACGGATTTCCATGCAGAGTAAGAAGTTCGAGCCTCGGAGCAGTCCTCAAAGCTGCGGCTGGGAGCTGCTCCAACAGATTGTCTGACAGGTGTAAATGCCTGACAAGAAAGTGATGTAATTATCTTTACTTGGTGGTTTGTGAGGTGACAAGGAGATATGATCTCACTTATACATGCAGTGTAAACAACCAAACAACATGGATTAACTTGCATGACTTTAAAGGTTTTAAACGAAGATATTTTGTGATCTCATGTCATGATTTTTATTTTTGCTTTAAACATTAGATTTTTAGGGTTTGGTCTTACCTGAGTCCAGAGGTCCAAAAGCTACCTAGGAGTGATACTGTTATGAAGGTGTGGGGGTGAATCTCCTTCAGGAGATTTCCCTCCAGCTGCAGAAGTTTCAGGGAGGTCAATCCAGAAAAGGAGTACGGCTCTATAAAGTTAATGAGGTTATGGTCCAGGTGGAGACGAATCAAACCGACAAGTCCTTCAAACAGACTGGGGCTCACTGACGTTAGCTTGTTGTAACTCAGCTTCAGAATCTGCAATCAGACAAAGTGGGTTTCACTCACATTCACTAATGGCAGAAACAAAAACAAAAAAAAACTGTGGAACAGAAAAGAAAAAAAAACCATGGAGCTGGATTTATTAATGAAAGGTAATATTCCCTCATTGTTTGTTTGTCTTTCCAGTTGCTCTAGCTACAGCTCGACACCAAATCTGCAGAAGAGACATTCACACTTTGACACGTTTGACAAACTGAAGAGTCCATCAGCCGTCATCATGTAACACCTTTATTAAACCATGTCTCCTTGACAAACTAAATCCAACAAATTATAGGACTTAATTTTTTGGTTTAGTTCCAATCGGAACTTCATTCATCATTGTGTGGAAACCCAGAGTTCTGAGGTGTATAAACAGGAACCTTCCATTTCATCATTCCTACAGTCTTTACCTGTAAGGATCTCAGGCTGTAAAATGCTCCGGGGTGGACTGTGTGAACGTCATTTCCATGTAGCATAAGCATTTCCAGTTGCCGTAGTGACCTGAACTCCGACCCCTCCACCTCTGTCAGGCTGTTGTATCTGTCAGAACAGAGCACATAAAAAGGATCATTTACTGTACAGGAAGGTAAACAGAGTCAGGGATGAAAGGAAGGCGCTCTATAATGAACAGTGAGTTTTCACAGGAGTTCCTAGGTCACTGTGACACTTCCAACGGAGGGGAAAAAGGTCGTTACGGTGAAGGACTCCAGTTCACCTTTGACCCATAACTATTTCCTCATGCTAAGGAGTCTTTGGGAAGTTGATCAACATGGGGCCAACAGGGGCTCACCGTGTAGAAAGTGAAGAAAGCTGTGCGTGAATGAGAAAATGGCCGGTTTGCTGGTTCAATTCCTGGTCTTTCTACATGGAGGTTTCATGTCAAATTGACCATAGGTGTGAATGAAGGTTTAAGTTGTTGTTTGTCTCAGGAAGATTTTGTGAGGTGTTGATTTGTATGATTTGATGCAGGACAATCCTCCTGAACCTCACCTGGATTCTCTCCTGCTGTCTCCTCACTTAGGAGCGAGGGAATGGCAGGAGAATCTCCAAAGCATGGTAAGAATGACTCATTATTCAGACATTCTTATTCACACATGCAGTCCCTCTGTTCTGTCTCCAAACAACAGTTCTGTGCATGTCTGAAAACAGCAAAAGGTTGGCACGCTGCAGAAGAAATTCATCATCTGAAAAACTGTTATTTTACCTCCCTGTGCTGTCCAAATGATAAGTCAACAAACTATCAAAAATATATCCTTAGTTTTTTATGTGTTTACATCTGACAACCTCTGATATTTCTAAAACAAAAAACAAAAAAAAAAGTTAAAATCTAACCTGATTTCTGCTCCATTCACAGCAGATTCACAGCATCGTGTTAAAACACATATTGAAACTCTAATCTCTCCGTATGACAGACTGCTGGCTGAGTCAACACTTGTCTTCCCTCAACTATAAATCCTTGTTTTTTTGATGGGCTGTGTGTCCTGTAGGTGGTCCACGTCCTCCCCAGCACTGTTCTGACATCAATCAGCCAACTCTCCTTTGAAAAAGTTCAGAACCTTGCATTTATTAGGGGTGGACTTCTTTTGAATGCAAATAACATTTTCCCAACCCGCTACTAAAGTGAAACAGACCCTGGAGTGTCGATAAAAGACGCCAAACACGCCTGGTGTGAATAAATATAGGAATGAAAATAAAGGATGGCAATAACGTCCACATCACACTGATGTGTTCCTGAGACGACAGGATGGTTCACCCTCAAGAATACAGGATCCTGTCGCTCCATGATTCATTTCTTGAGCTGACTATCACACTGTAATCTTATGTAACATTTATGGGCAGTTGTACAGCTCTCTGTTGTGAAATACAACAGCAGCAGCATTTGTTCTTGTAGTAACACCATCCAGCCAGTAAAACTTCAGTTTAGCTATTATTTCACGTACAAGAAATACATTGTTTAGATCCATGTACACCTGGGAAGGCCTTTTATGATAAGGACTGAATGTTTTGGGTTTTTTTTTTTTGGATAATGTCGTTGTTTTCGGTAACACGTCTGTACAAGGCCCGCTGGTATACGGAGACGGCCAAATCCAATAAAGAACCAGATGCATAAACTGTTTTACACGAAGCAACAGAGCAGACAGATATAAATACCTGATGCACTGGTGGTCTTCTTAATAGTAGCACATAAGGTGTGTATTGGCAAGAGTCTGACGATTCGACATGGATCACGATACAGGGGCAATGATGCGATACTGTAGTAGTGGTTCTTAAAGTTTTTCTACTCTGTACCACCTGAGAAAACATGGAGCTCTCTGAAGCTCTCACCTGAGAAAACATGGAGCTCTCTGAAAATGAAAATATGAATTTTCCCTATGTACCACTAGAGAGCGCTCGCGTACCACTGGTGGTACACGTACCACAGTTTGAGAACCACTGTGCTACAGGCCCGGTATTGTGAAACGAAATATCGCGATATTTCAGCGTATCAGTATCAGTATATATTAACGACGCGGACCGGGGGGAGGTGTTCTGGTTTGTAGGTAATTTGAGGTTTTTGCCTCGTGAGTGAAAAACAAATCCTTAACAAATTACCCCACATTCCACACCATTTCCTGTGGTGTGTTTGGTTTTCTTGCCCCCTGGGCCGCATCAATCTGTGTCTCAGAAAACTCTCTGGTGTAGATTTGCATCAATGCATGTTAATCGAGTCCTCTTACCCCAGGTTGAGCCTCTCTGTGTCTTTGGGAAAGGTCTGTGGTATGACAGCCAGGTGTCTGAACGTACAGTGGACCTCTTTCACACCGGGGCAGCTACAGGTCCGTGGGCAAGACGGGACAGCGTGGATCTACGGAAGAGAGGCCGCAATGTTAACGCAGGGAAGAAGGATGATATAATTACAACGAGGCAGAGGCAGAAAATCAAGGAATGTGAAGAGGAATGAGAGAGCGATGAGCAGACGTGAATGTAGAAAGATCAGATAAGAGAAGAGACCCAGAGATGAGTTCAGACCTGTGGGATATCTGACAATTTGGAAAGACATTAATATTAAGTGGAATAAACAGACCTGAGGCTTGTATTCAATAAACCAGGTGCACTCACATAATGTACTCTCGTGCCCTGTTCAAGCAAGTGTTGTTAAATTAGTCGGTTTTCATCTAAAATTTATAGTTACAGACAGGAAAAAGACAAGAAAAGTACACAATATTACCAAAAAAAATTTATTTAACCTTTAATTATTTATTTATTACTGTCACAGTGGCTACTGCTGCACGCCTGTTGTCAGACTGTAAAAAGAGTCGCAGCACTAAATCACTGACGACACCGACAGTTGACCAGTGCGTCTTGTAGGAAGATTTACCGTTTGCCACAGCAGTGATGAGAGCAGCAGAGGAAACCACGCTGCGGCCAACCTGCAGAGGATCTTGGCGCACCGCTGCAGCGCCATGACTGGAGGTCTGTCTATCTGCTCATGACATTAGTTCATCTGAGGGAGGAAAAAAAAAAAAGATTTGGATTTTTTTTTTTTTTGATTTTTTTCCACAAATTTAATAATTATCACCATCACCACATATGACCAAGACACATTAATTTCCCAGGATTCATTGTCTTAAATCCCTTTGAACTTCGTTATTGATGTTGTGTAATGGTTGTACATACAGTATATTACGTGTCCTTTGTTTACTTCAAATAAAACAAAAATCACAGTTCCTGGCACAAAAACACGTAATGAGTTTATATGTCAAACTTGTTCGCAACAGAGACGCAGGACACAGAAGAGTCTTGTGACACATGGTGTCCAGATGGAGGCAGACGTTTTCGTCTTCACAAAACATATCAAACTCTTTTAATAGTTCTAATCTTCTGAAGCTGCTCACATGTAAGCAAATAAATAATTAGCAGGTTAGCACAAATGTTTATGTGGTTGTTTCTAACAGTAGATGTCTTGATAGGTTGGTACATGAAGTGGATTCACTGGTGACTCATAATTAGCAATAACTTCACTGCTGCAAAGTTACAACAGTCGTTTTAAGAGTGGAGGGGAAATTACCTTAATGATTGGGAAATTTTAAGACATCTATCACAAATTCATACAAGTCTTAGCTAATACACAACTATATTACATGAGTGATAGAGAAAAAAAACATACAAAACCCATCTTTTTTTCATATTACTTGAATTTTTGGAAGGTGTTGGAAACCAGATTTATTTTTATTTAATATGATAAATAATACACCCCTTTAAAATCTGAATAAAAACTGCAAAATATTTTTAACCAAACCTGAATTTAACCCTGTAAAATCTGATGTTTTTTTTCACACAAATACAAAATAAAATGAAGAAAAAGACCAGTTTGTGACCCTGTGCGGAAGAAAAACTCTCAGAATTTTATCAAAAATAATTTAAAGTAAATTCTCAATGGAAACACGACCGACGGAGTTTTCAGAGAAACAAAATGTGTTCACAGGTAGAGGCAACAACACACACACACACACATATTTGAAACCATTAGAGGCCAGTGAGGGGCTTCTGGTTTCCATGTGTGTTGCTGTCTCCTCTCCTCAGAGGGAGACTAATTCACCTAACAGCTGTGTGTGTGTGTGTGTGGGGGGGGTGTACCTGTTTGTTATACTTAAGGGTACACTTTTTTTTTTGAAGTGACACTTTGTCCATCAGGGGGACATTTTCAAGGTCACCACAGATTTCGATTTTATTTTGAGATTCAAGATTCAGATTGGAGTTAGTTTTAATACCGGGGTCAGATTAAAGGGTAAGTTCAAACATATATTTGTTGGGGTTATGGTGAGGAGAAATTAATGTTATAGAGTTATGATTTTTACAGTGGACTGGGATTCTCGTATTCTCTCTTCCTTTCTCACACACCATGCGCAGACTTCCTGGTCTGACAAACATATTAGCTGAGAGAGTTTGGCAAGCCTCGACCAGATTAGCTTTTTCCCCACAGAAGGATTTCATTTCTCTTTAAAGGCAGCTGCTGGTGAGAAGAACCAAAACATCCACTGGACACAGTAACTCTGTCACTACTGAGATTCTACACTTCTTAGTTCTGTGGTCAGGTCATGTAGATCTCAGCCCTGGCGTTTCAATGGATAACTAAAGCACTTGACAAAATGACCGTTGACCAAGAGAATTCAAGATAAATATGGATTTAACAGCAACAAAACTTTGGTAAAAGGGTTTCTTTTATTAACAGCAACAAAACTTTGGTAAAAGGTTTTTTTCAGACCCTTCAGAATGGAAGTGCAGATTCTAGGTCAGATTCTAGGTCAGATTTCTTCCATGGTCAAGGATTCTTTCTAGCACAGGATCTTGAACCCAGGCCTTTTGGCCTCTGATGACTTTTCCATCCTGTGGCCAGGATCATAAAAGTCATTCCTGACACTTTATACCAATACCTGGTTAAAGAGTACACACTGACAGACCCAGTTTGTCAAAAATTTGAACTGTACACTTTGTTATTTTTTATGACAACTGACAACGGTTACATAACCTTTAATCGAAGTCCCAAAACCTGCAGCAGCTTTTATGAGTCAACCAAGCAATAAAGGTGTCCGGTTAGTACGAGTCTCTGGTGTCATTTGAAATCAAGATTACAACGGTGAGCCAGTTCCATGTTATCTCTCTGTAATGACTTTGCCTGCACTGCTGAGCTCTGACGATGGAAACTGAAAGGATGAGAAATAAAAAAGGAAAGAAAAGCAGAGAGGATAAAAAAACAGAACTGAGAGGAAGGAAATGTAATAAAAGAAATGAAAGAAATATAGTAGAAGATATAGATGGATTTGAAAGGAAAGGGCATAAAAATAGTTGAACAACAACAAATAAATGGAAGAAAGGAAAAGAAAGGGAATGAGAATAAAATGAATAGAAATAAAAGAATAGAATAGAAAAAACAAAGTAGGACAATTTGTTTTAAAGGGTTAAAATTCAATTTGTTTTAAGAGGTTAATGTTGTAATTAGAATATTCTTAGAAAAAATCACTTAGTATCTCCTCCAGTCTCTCACCTGACAGAGATTAACGGCTGTTTTTCCTTTAGAAGAAAAAGACGACTCTGTCTAAGTTACTCCTGATCACAATCGTATGCTCGCTGGCATTTTCCCTTAAGATTTTTTTTATTTTATTTTTGAAAAAACTCATTCTTTTATTCCTCACCTTAAAGACGATGGAATCAACTATGAGTCCACTCAGAACATGTGGGAATTTGGACAGATTTATAACTAACATACGAGACAGATCACCAACGGCAATCTCTCACTTTGGTGTGTCAGACCACAGCATGAACAGACTGCAGGCCTCTGCCAGACTGAACATTAAAAACCACAATGCATTGTGGACCGGGGTTGAGTTTAAACAGCACACTCTGGTCTTCTCTGGTCAACTTTAACTTAGTTAAAGGTCTGTGAGTTCTGTCAGTATAAACAAGGTAAACATTTCCTCACTTCACCAGGCAAATTTTCTTAAAATGCTCACAATATTATTACAAGTGCACTGCAACATGAGACTCTTTCTGCCAAGAAGCAATTTTTTTATACCAATAAATTATGATAAAAACAGTATAAAATTCTCCATTCCAACAAATTTAACTACAAGAAAAAGTGAACCCACTGACACCTTGTCCCTTCTGCAGGGGGCGCCACAGCTGTAGACCCACAGTTTTATGCTGATTGCCCTAACCCTTTGCTGACCAACCCAACCCAGGAGCAGGAAGTAGGTTGAATAGACTTTGGCTCCTGTTCGCGAGTTAATACGGTAAAAATTTACAACTAATAGAAAATTAACGTTATCTCCATAAAACACAACGTTCTCCTTTTAGAACGTCTGAGTGGAGCCAACGAGATCTTGATGTCAATAACATCACACCGACTCCACGCCAAGTCACAGCTGCTCTATTCGTGGTAACACATGTTAAGATAGGACTACAATATGATTCCCATATGTTTTCCATGCTAGTCAGTATCGCCATGTGTTGCCTATATATCCCCATTCAAAACTCTTTTTCATCATCATGTGTTTATTGTTATTGTTGAACGCCAACCCGTCGACCAGAATGCTATTGAAAAATCCCAAGTGATTTATTCTTTTGAATAAACTTATTTCAGGAACTTATTCCCATACTTAGACTGATTAAACGGATTATTACCAACAGATCGTTGGTTTGAAATACAGTTAATATAAATTGGCCACATTTCCCTTGTACAAAAACAATGATTGGGAAACAGCAGACTTTCATTGGTAACTGAAAATAGTTTTACACAATTTGTGTAGCACAGTAAAGTACTTTCAGGTTTTTTTTCTTTTCCAGAGCACTGGCAGTAAATCTGTCGTTACGAAGCTCACATGGCGTTCAGACAACATTTAAATCCTCCCAAAATACTCCATGCACTCCAAAGTTGATTCGCTGCTTTCCTTGCTCTCTCACACAGACACAGAAAAAAAAACTGACCTTGAATTTACCACCTTCATGCTCTGTATGTCAATTAAATTACAACATTAACTTCCCCTTTCTCTGTCCATTCATACTGATGCCCTAAAGACAGAGTTTTACTCAGCGGAGTTACCCAGAAACAACCTGTGTCTGACAGTCAGTGACTGATGAAGAGTATTATCCGTGTGTAATTACGGATGATTTTACAAATAATTAGGTGTGGGTGTTGGTTGAGATTATGTTTCTTGTTGAAGTAGAACTCTTCTATTTCAAATGTTGCCTAATTGCCGTGGACGAGGTGGGAAAAAAAAAACAAACAGATAAATTTAGATCAACACCAAGTACATCTGTCACAACATGACAGTTGGCGTGAAATGGATTTTCAAAGTCAAATGATTGACCTTGGTGTTGAGAAATGAGCCGTTCAAAGCGCTCCTCCGCAGAAACACTAATGAACGCCTGTTACGGAGGATAATCCCTGAACAGGTTTGAAGCATTTCTCTAAGATCAACATGAAGCACTGGCACAGAGCGCTGAGCTGCGGCGTCAACACGTGTAAGACACTAGAAAACTTCAACACAACAGCTGGGAGCATTTAAGTTTAAGTTGTTATTGTAAAGGAAAACAAAAACTCACCTAGAAATTCTCGCAGAAGGGGTTAAAAAAACAACCCACAAACTGTTTACAGGCTTCACTCAGGTCCTCACGTCTGGACTGCAGGTCGGAAAGACAAGAAAAGTTTTACAAGAAAAACAGGCGTAAAAAAAAAAAGTATCCACTGAGTGTCTGGTCCTGTGGATGCTGGTCCAGTTGTAAAGTCACTGATGAACCAGAGTCTGTGAAAGAGAGAGGGATGGAGCGGCGTGTGTGTGTGTGTGTGTGTATTAGTTTGACCCTGCGTTGGTCCTTTAGCATCTGGTTTTCAGATTAACTCCTTTTCCCTCTTTCCTGTCCTGTGCTGTAACTGTGTGGTCAGGAATGCAGCTTCTAACATCCACTTTTACACCTACGCTCCTTCCCTCAAATCCTCGAGTCATC